TGAAACGTAACTGTAACGAGTTCATTTTGCATTATGGGAACTTGTAACGGGAACTCCTTCCGAAATTGGGCAGGAACCAGGAACGTGTAAAACACTAGTCGAGTCTCTGGTTAGCTTACGCGTAATTCGAAAATTAATGCAACAGAGAAGTGAAGGGCAGAATATCATACCGTGAAATAGCTCCTAAAAAAATAACAAGTCAGCCCCATTTCGTCGGCAGTAAATTCATGTCACTGATTATAGCACAACAGTGCTAGAACGAGATCCAAGGTCGTTTCTAGAGAAACGATGCTTGTAAATGCTTAGGAATTTTTTCTGGACTCACCAAATGGTGTTACTGCTAGATTTAGCAATTCCACTACAAACGACTATATCACAGGCATACTCGAGTTGAGGAAGACATACTGCGGGGTACAATTTGTCGAAAGCTGTAGGAGAACTGAGTTTTTAAAAGACTCTACAAACACAGCCGAGGGAATGAACGCCTCGAATGGCAGCGCCTTTCGTGTGAACAGAAAGATTTAACGTGCTATAAAAAAGAACACCCCGATACCTAGTCCCATACATGTTACATAACGACACGGCATTGGCAGAGTATGGAAATGACACGATATACGTGTTTTCAGAGATACACTCATGAATTTAATCTTTGAGGTATTTACGGAAATATTAGCCATATGAAGAAGGAACACATATCTGACTGCAGCGAGCGACAGTCGTGGTAAATTTTCTTAAATATTTTGATGTAATCGGCATACGACGAAGAAGAACAACTAATTAAAAACATCATTACCATAAAAAAAGGAGTAGAACTAAAGCCGACCTCTGAGGGACTCCACCTTGTACAAGTAAGATGTTCGACCATTTTCGGCAACATAATCTGATCTATCAAACAGATACCAATGCAGAGGATCCATAACAGGCGATTTGATTGATTGATATGTGGGGTTTAACGTCCCGAAACCATGATATGATTTTGAGTGACGCCGTAGTGGAGGGCTCCGGAAATTTTGACGATCTGGATTCCTTAACGTGCACCCAAATCTGAGCACACGGGCCTACAACACCTCCGCCTCCACCGGAAATGCAGCCGCTGCAGCCGGGATTTGATACCGTGACCTGCGGGTCAGCAGCCGAGTACCTTATCCTTTAGACCATCGCGGCGGGGTAGCTTCTCGAATACTAAGGCACGGTTGGCGGAGCATTGCTGACACTCTTTTGTTAGCGTAAACCAAATACGGCAATAGAAAACGCGTGTCCCACTACATTCGCACTACACCTATATTTACATTTATGTGGACTTAAGGGGCGAACATCTTTTCTTTGTAGCTAATGTTTTATTATTGCTATTAGTGTTGCTGTTACAATGTATCCTATTTGGATAGTCGGAGTGCATACACTTTCATTTTTCTTTCTTTTTCTCCTCTGTATGCCCCTTATACCTTATGCTGGAAAAAGAGCTAGTACGGAATTTAAATAAATAAAAAAATCAAAATAGGCATCGGCCACGAACGCTCGTCTAGAAACAAGGCTCTCACGCGGAAGCTGGAGCTCTTTGCGTGAACATTCGTGTCCGTATAAGCTGTTCTCGTTGAGTTTCCCGACCAGACCGTTTGACCCTCAGCAGCACGAAGGCCCCATCCCGTAATCTCCTGTTTACAATATCTCGCGTGCACTTTCTTCAGCTTGTGCCCCAGCTTTTCTTAATTTTATTACTCTTACACTATACATTATGCCGTTCCCGACAATGTTTTTCCGTCATAGTATTCATAGAATGGCTTCAAAACAGGCCCGCTTATAATTAAGGCGCAGTATTTTCGGTGTTTATTATTACTACTCTTGAAATTCGAAGGGCGCTTTTCGCAATTTATCTTTGGGGAGAACTTTGGCGTTTGTCGCAGTTTATTGCTCGTAAATCCACAATTTTCCTAAATTTGGTGTTTGTTTTGCATCATTTCTTGTTGCAATGTCGTTTCCTTAATAACTATGTTCAATGAAATAGCGTTGCATTGTTGCTGATAGCTATGCTTCTTCATTTTATTCATTTTTTTCTCACTTCATGTTTATTTACCCTAACTCTTAATAAGGCAGTTGATATGCACTGCTGTATAATCACTAAACTGTACTTTTGGGAAGAGCGGGAGCTAGACAGGCTGCTTTTCAGTGTTATCGACCAGCTACTTTCATCATATTAACGAAACGGTAATTTTATTATTATTGTTATTATTATTATTATTCCTACTACTACTACTACTACTACTACTACTACTACTACTACTACTACTACTACTACTACTACTACTACTACTACTACTACCCACACTTTCAGGTTGACTCGTCTGTTATGAGCTCCGCGCTGGTGGTCTTGTGGCTAAGGTACTCGGCTCCTGGCTGCGGCGGCTGCATTTCCGGCGGAGGCGGAAATGTTGTAGGCCCGTGTGCTCAGATTTGGGCGCTCATATTTGGACCCCAGGTGGTTCGAATTTCCAGAGCCCACCACTACGGCGTCTCTCATAATCATATGGTGGTTTGGGGGCATTAAACCCCACATATCAATCAGAGTTCGAGAAGCTTCGCCACTGTAGTACATCGTTTTGTTAAGATTGCGTGCCAGGTGATAACACTCGAGTAATACTCGAGTTCCAGAGCTTTCGTAATGACTGGTGATAAGACTGGAAAATTCAGAATTTTAGAATACAGAAATAACTCAGGGATTTCCCGCTACCTACACTAACAACGCTCGAAACTACAACTTTACACATCCCACTTTTTTGAAACCGAGAACAATAGCTACCTATATTATGTTCCGAAACTTTTAAAATGGCAGATTCCTCATCTACTAAACAGTTATCCCCAAGTACTAACTCTGATAATGCATGCTTCTTCCATATCTTTCAGAAAGATGTTAAAGATGTACTTCTTAGAGCGCATATAGTATTTGTGCACTTAGTTATGCCATTTTCTTTTATTTGTATGCATGAAGTGTTATATATGCACCCCTTTTTCTGGTTATTCATGTACATATGCTCCCATATGAAAGACTGGTGTACGCACCACTATTGCTCTCTTTATCTATTTTGTTTATTTGCTTTGCAATGATACGTGAATTTATTCTAACCCATTTTTCGAAGTATTCTCGTTATCTTTATTTTGTATAGGCTCTCTCTCAGTTCTCCTTAATGTGATTGTGTTCTTATGTTCCTGTTCTTTTTTTTTACCCATGCTGTCACTCTGCGTAAGAATGTACGGTGTGGAGCTAGAGGCCTAGTCAGGGGACTCATAATGTCGCCTTTTGTCTCCTGCACCACGGCAATCATGTATTGTCAATTAAATAAATAAATAAATAAATAAATAAATAAATAAATAAATAAATCGATGCGTGGTGTAGCCTATACGAGACAGCGTGTCCCAACGTTGAGCAGTTTTTGACAGCCGATGCATTGTTTGCCGATGTCAGCGTGCAGTGCTTGTTTGTTTCCCGGCCATAAGTTCGGCCAAATAAACAGTCTCATCTTAGATACGTCGACTGCTGCTTTCATGTAGTTTCTCGCGGCGCAGTCAGTAAAACCATCACTTCGGGGATATCATTCCTCAGTGATATCGCTTCTGGCAAGAGAGATAGATTGAGTGCGCGTATTTTGTCAAAAAATTGCACATAAAGCTGTGCTGATTCTGCTAGCGCGCAGGCATGCGACTCAGCCTGTGCAGAGGGAAAGGAAATGGCTTAATACAATGATTGTACTAGTGAAACAGCACAAGAATGTTATCTTTCAGCGAACATCTGATGGCTGTAAATCGATACCACGTTTAGTTTATGAAACACTAATATGACATTATTAGTTCTCAGTGACGAAGCGGGTTACTCTGTGTTGGGTGGTTTCGGACCCCTGTGTTTAGTAGACTTGATTAAGTGATCAAGCTGGTAAAGCATATTCTAGCTGTGGACGTACAAATGGTAAATTGGTTAATCTGCGGATGCTCCATGGGGAGTAACAGAAATTACAACTCCAGTAACTTAGTGCTTTGGGTGTTTTGGAACAAATGGAAGTTATGGGAGCAGTTCATAAAAATTGAGAGTATTCATGCAGTAAAGCATAGACAGACAAAAGAATGAAACCAACAGAAAACCAAGCAATATATATATATATATATATATATATATATATATATATATATATATATATATATATATATATATATATATATATATATATATATATATATATATATATGCAGAAGAATAACTTCGGTTGCCGCAAGGTTATAAATATGAAAGTAGATGCGCTTTCACATAACAACTGTTTATTGTGCCGACGTTTCGACAGGAACCCTGTCTTTTTCAAGGCCTTGAAAAAGACAGGGTTCCTGTCGAAACGTCGGCACAATAAACAGTTGTTATGTGAAAGCGCATCTACTTTCATATTTATATATATATATATATATATATATATATATATATATATATATATATATATATATATATATATATATCACCATGCACTTTAGCACGGTGATATGGCAAACAATTTTGCAATCAAAATGCCGAAGGTACTGTTGTGTATACCTTCACATTAGCGAATACTACAGCGAGGCAATTTATGAGAACTTCTTTGCCACCCAAAACTGATATGGACTCCGGGCAAACTTGTCACGTCTAGTTTATTTGCTCATGCGTGTGGAAATGTAATAGTAGCCGCATGCGCGATTTCTTTCGTACGACATTAAAACAGGGAAAGTGGATGTGATGCCTAAAACATAAGGACAAAATTAAGTGGAACACTCTGAATGCTACATTATCAAAATTTCTCACATGCCTGTGCTGTGTCTATTTACTGTGTTCACCTACAAGTTCTAAACCACGGTAAGAAATATGTGGAGTTTATATATAATGTGTCAAATACGGACACATTCTAAAAAACGGTAGCTTCGCTAAATGATTTGTGAAATGATATCCAGCGATGGTGGTTAGTGAATCACTGTTTTATTTTATTTCTGCACAGCTCTTTTTATTGTATTTGCAGGGAATAAAAGCGACATCATAGACTGCGGCAATTCTATCTTTGCACTGTTAGCTTACGAAACGAGATTGCCCTTTCTGCCACTAGGGCACGGCCAGTAAACAGGAAAATATGCCAATGAGAGGACTGCACCTGCAGCTAGAACATTGAGCGCGTATTTAAATGCAGGCACTGAAGTATTGAACGCACACGTGCAAAGAATTACACGCTTGACGCTTCGCCGACGTCGACACGCTGTGTTCGCAAGAAAAACTGAAGCAAGTTTGTGCCGTGCAAGTGCCATCACGACAAAAGCATGTCTAGAGTTCGAACAATAGCCACGAGCCATGCGCCCACAACAACGAGCAAGACGACTCTGGACTTGCGCATAAAAAATCCCCCGAGCTCGCTTCTGTCTAGTGCAGCCACCTTGGTGACATGGTTCCGGATCTTCATCGGCCACGCTTACCTGTACGGGATGGGACTGGTCGGCGTGATTATCCTGCCCGTACTCGTGGTGAGCCAGCGAGCCCGAGAGGTGTTTTTCGCCTTCGTTTACATGCTTATTCAGCGCCTGTGGTGCAGCGACTACGGCATCGTGCGGCGCGTGGTAATGACCGGACTTGACGATCTCGTGTCTCAAGACAGCGCCCTGAGAGAGCGCGGCGCAGTTCGTGTTCTCGAAGTGGGTGCTGCTTACGGGCCGAACTTGCCTTATGTGCGTCGCAACGTGGAGTACTGGAGATTGGAGCCCAACGTGAGCTTCGACGAAGGCTTCCAAAAGAACCTGGACGCTAATAACAAGGTACGTTCACATCTTTTAACAACTGCTGCATGCAGTGGATGGGTCGCGTCAGTGTTTCTGGAATCGTGGTCTTTTCGCGTTTTTTTTTCAGATTTCGCAATACGGAACATAAAGAGCAACTAATCATAAATCATTTCTTGGTGAACACGAAAAGCTCTTTGGGGCGTGGTCACATAAGTTAGTTACGCGTATAACTAGAAATGCCTTACAGGGGGGGGGGGGGGGGGGGAATACATCAACGGAACGCGTTTTGGTCAAGCCCATCTGTCACGCATCTGTTTGCTTCAAAAAAGGGAATCTATGAATTCATGAAAAATCACCTCAACTTTTTATGGAATCTCAATGATTGGGCTTGTCTGCATCTCGCTCATCTTTTGAGCAAGTTTCCTTCATCAAAGAGGGAACACGATAACCGGCTTATATGTTTTAAACTTGCGAACAATCCAACCCAAAGGCAAGGGTGACCAAACGAGGAGTGCTTAGTGGTGATATCTGCGTCAAATCAAACCACGTGGGATAATGACAGGGAGTTGAGCTAGCTTTCAGGGTTCTATCATAAAAGAAAACATGACAAGCAAAACAGACACATGAGGGCTCTGAAAGCTGATGCTGACAGCCGCCTTCCACATCAAGCCACGGGCACTTGTCACGCAACCGACGCGCCACAAATCTGCTTGCTAAATGCCATCGCTGTGTAGATGTGGGTGCTCTCTGCCCGATCACTTAAACAAGCATCGAGTGGTAACCAATTGTTCTTTGTATACCGAAAGTGGACGGCCTGAAGTCATCGTTCTTTTATGACAACTTCCTTAGATAGTTTCGCTATACCACAACAGCGACGATAGGCGTCGATGGTGTCTGAACCTAAGCATAGTTCAAATAGTTAGTAAGGATAAGTCTAAAGTATGGAATACATTGTTGTAAAAATTTCTAATCCGCGGTTACACAGCGAACAAAGCTTAATTTAATGGTGTCTGTACGATGAAAACATTATTATTTGGGGGGTAATGTCTTAAAACCACGATATAAAAATACTTCGGGAGCGAATGAAAGAAAGAAGTGCCACATTAGTGTACGAAAATGTTGGGGAAAAATAGCATTCTGACTCATATTCCTCCTTCATCTTCCTAATCTAATAGTCTAAGTAAAAATATAGCTTATATATTGATTGCAAGTATGAATTGTTGGTAAGACATACAGAATTTTTCAAAATAGTAGGTTCCGTAATAAGCGAGAAAGCAATTATATCAACTGATGAACCAAGTGAACAACCACAAGGCAGTAGGAAGCTTGTTTTTGCCACGCCTTCACTGCATAGCTTGTCAGTGCAAGACTCCAGTGGGGCTTCTTGGCAGCGAATAATGCAGGCCATCGACTAAAATGTAGTCGAGACCTGCAAAACATTTATAAGTTGTTGTATTTTGCTTCTTATAGTTTATGCAGATATAGTGAGGTAATGCTTAGTGACCTAATCAAAATGTAGTTTGGATGATGTTTCAACTTTCAAGTATAGGCCAATGCGTGATCGCTTACAACTGGTTTGCATGATAAAATGCTGTATTCTAGGAGTACAGGTTAGAGGGTGCCGAAAATACTAAAAGCCCGTCCCCATTACCGGACAGGTTTTTAACATTTTCAGAGTCTTCGGTTTATAAAGAAAGAGGGGGGTGAAAGTGAATCTCGTCCCAACATGATGAATAGGTTTCATTTATGAACACGATGTCAACTCATCTGCAAACTGTTTAATATATATTAAAACTGGTGTAAGCGATGACGCATCGGCCTGTATTTGAAAATTACAAAAGCACAAAGAAGTTAACATGAATTATGACATTGAGCGTTATTTATGACCAGGTGCCGTAATTATGAGAAGCAAACACAACGCCCTCAAATTGTTCTGCGTGTCATTGACTGGGTCATAATTGTACCTCTCTGGATTAAAACAGCTGAATATACTCTGACCTTCGGTGGTCCGAGGTAGATACCGTTCCACAATTTTTATTATTCTGTTTTTTTACGTCCTGTACACCTGTATTACTGAAGTAATAATGACAAGCATTGCTAAGACTAGCATTGTTTGCTGCAAAAAAACCGTTAGGATCCTGTGCTGACGCGCTATGTTGTGAAGGCGAAGAAAAGGCAAACTTCGTACTACGTGATGTATTGCCGGAGTCTTTCAATACCTTCACTGGTCATGAAGCTTCACCGTAACTCTATGGAGAGCTTAATGCGCTGCGAGCGGAGGCCGTGGGGCGGCGCTGCATCGGGCAGGCCGGAGTTCAGTTCGGGCTGTCACGGTGAATGGACGTGTTTTTTGAGTACTTCGGATCGACTGCACAGATAAGTGTTTTTGCATGTTTTGAGCTTGTCTTTATAATTATGAGGCAGCGGTTGTAATCTTCGTAGCACCTATTATATGGTACGGCTTTTTCGGGGGCCAGTCACTTGGTATTTATTAGTTAGTGCGGGTGTGTGTGTGTGTGTTTCAATTTTTTTTTCTTTTGCCACCCCATGGGGGAGGTGCCCGTACATTTAACACGCAAATTTTTGTAGTAGAGCTTAGACTTTCTTTTTTTTTCGTAGTGCAGGGCTCGAGTTTAGTAATTATCTAGTATAGGGACAATTGGTGTCAGAAAGACATGGTTAAAAAGACTGTAAAGTGTTCATGATGTGGAGTGGGTTTGAAAGTGGACCCAAGCGCAGAAGCGGATGGAGAAGAGACTGACGCGAAGTGTAGGCAATATGAGGTCGAGGAAAAAGATGGAGAAAATGATGGTTGCCCAGAGTGAACTGCTGATGAGAATCGCCGAGCTCGAGACTGCGTTGGCGACAGAGCAAGAAAAAACGAGGGCAATGGGAGAAAGACTGAAGTCCGCCGAGGAAGCACTAGCGAAGCTGAACAAAGAAGTGGCCTACGGATAGAACAGTAGGGAACCGGCGACCAGAACGGTGGAGAAAGAAGAGCAAGCAAGTTTGAAAAAAAAACCGGTTCAGCCGGTTCAATTGTCGCAAGGCCCAGCTTCCGCGAGGTAGTGGTGGGGCTGGGAGGGGACAAAGCAGCCGGCGTCACATGTGCAAATAGCCCCCAGGTGCAGGACGCTCCAGCTGAAAAGTCACAACAAGGACTCGAATTTAAATTGATGCACAGAAGCCATCAAAGAGAGGGTAAGAGGTGCCAAGAGGGTTGCAGTAGGGGTGTTCCCAGGACGCAAGCTTGAAGCATTCATGAGGCAAGCGAGCGCAAAACTCAAAACTACAGCTGATAAACGAAACCTCGTGATAATTTCAGGCTGTTTAAACGATGTCTTAAATGAAGATACAGCAGGACTAGCAACCACACTGGCGAAAGGCGTCGATGACATGCGCGCCACTTTTCATAAGGTACAGGTAGTGATATGCACGATACCGGATATACCGGTGCGTGATAGCAACCTGCAAAGCTCAACGCAAACCAAAAGATATGGCGGATGAGTCGAGAGAAAGGCTTTATTGATTGATTTGTGGGGTTTAACGTCCCAAAACCACCATTTGATTATGAGAGACGCCGTAGTGGAGGGCTCCGGAAATTTTGACCACCTGGGGTTCTTTAACGTGCACCCAAATCTGAGTACACGGGCCTACAACAATTCCGCCTCCATCGGAAATGCAGCCGCCGCAGCCGGGAATCGAACCCGCGACCTGCGGGTCAGCAGCCGAGTACCTTACCCACTAGACCACCGCAGCGGGGCGAGAGAAAGGCTTTAAGGTGGTGGAAATAAACAAAGAGGTGCAGAGGTGGGGTGGTTTTCAACGAGACAGAATTCACTTCGATGGGCGGCTAGGTCATGAGGTGGGTTGGCGACATGCAGGACGCGCAGTAGCGTTGTTGGGGCGCAAGCGAGCTCTTCGGGGTGCAGGATAGCTAGTAACGAGGAAAACAACCAGGGAGACTCTTCGACAGGTGGTATGGACAGATACGATTCCAAAGTGGCACCAATATCTAAGATAGGTAGAGTCCGGGGCATAAATAGACGTAGCGACGAGCGCCGAGCCAATTCAGACATAGGGTATATTAACATGCAGGGTGGTAGGAACTGGCTGAAGTGGGAAGAGATAGAAGAACAGCTAAGGAAAGAGAGGCCGATGGTATACGGTTTTGTAGAAACACATATCAGGGACATGGAACAACCTCCGAACAATCCGAACTACGCATAGGAATATTGTAATAGAACAGAAGGCAGCAGAAAGGGGGGTGGTATTGGGGCATTCATTCATAAAATTACAGACTGGCAAAGGGTCAAGCAGCAGTGCAAAAAACATTATGGCTAAAAGGGAAAGTGGCAGGTCAAATGACACTCCTTGGTTTCGTGTACTTGTGGACGGGAGCAAAGGCCAGAGAGGAAAACCAGGCAATGGTAGAGTGTATATCAAAGGACATTCAGGAGTTAGGAAGAGAGTGCGAGATAATTATACTAGGAGACATGAATGCGCACATAGACGATATAAATGGGTATACCGACCCGACAGGCAAAATGATCATGGATATGTGTGAAAAGCTTGATTTGATCATTTGCAACAGTACGAAGAAGTACGAAGGGCAAATAACATGGGAGGTAGGAAGGCTGCAGTCGACGATAGATTATGCACTGATGTCACATAGGATGTATGATAAGCTCAGGGGAATGCACATAGATGAGGGTGGCTCCAGAAGTCTGGGTAGTGATCACAAACATATCAAGCTAAGCTTTGAAAGAGTAGTGAAAGTGGGAAGGAGACAAGATGAGCAACTACTGGAAAATTTTTATCGAGAAAGGCAAATTGAAATAGCCACTAAACAAATTGAGAAAGTAATCATGGAGGATGATAAGACAGTGGGGACATACACGCATCTAATTAGACTGTTTGAGCTAGAGCTTGCTAAGACGCGTGACAAGTCATCCCGGAAAAGAGACCCAAACCAAAAAGTTGGTGGGATGAGGAAGTTAAGAGAGCCATAGCAAAAACGTCAGGAAGCCTCTAGA